CTACTACTATTGCCCTGGAATAACTGTACGAACTGTACTGGCAATAGTAGTAGTGGAATCACCAGAATTCCATTCTGGTGATTCCACTACTACTATTGCCACTGTTACTACTACTGCTATTTCATTCCTCGCATACCAGACTACTTCCTGTAAATAACTTGATGAGTATTTGTCCACAATTCTGAGCAGGAACCATCAAAATAAAGACAAGGATAATTAAACATGCTTTTTTCTGTGTAGCTCATGAAAGCCACAGAACCAGATATTTTATACTGTGCAACATATGTGGCCACAACCGTGTTTTGGATGTGGGAATAAATTTTGTTCTCTCATATCCTGAAAACTAATGCAAATTTGGCCATGCTGCTGAGCAATTCAGATTCCAGATATTGCAAAGAGTTTAAATCTCTATTCCGATTGAAAAAAAAATAAACAAAAACAACAAGAAAGAGAGAGAGAGTACAAGAAAGCTTTCTTTGGGAATCAACACACTCACAGACTGGGTGTTAAAACTATGTATAAAAACAGATATGTAATAACACTTTCTATGCTGAGTGGGAAAGATCTTAAAACTGCACAAGAGTCTATACGCAAGAAGAAACTAAAAATGTACCTTAAAAAAAAATTCATAAAATATCTATCACGAAAACCAAATACTCTTACCTTTCCAGTTTCTTTGTTCAATTTGGATAAAATATTTGGGTTGAATTTCTATGGGAAAAAAATAAACGTTTATGGTTAAAGACATTTCTAAACTTATTTATTAAAGATCACAAATATATTTCTTAAACCACTAATTTTTATGTATTCATCCATATCATCACTCAGAAGAAGTAGTGTATGTTACTATTTTCTTATGGATTTTTCAACAGTGCTGTGTTACCGTATTTTCCCGAATTAAATGTGCACCCAATTTTGAAAGGGTTTTCTTACACGTCAGTTGTACAAAATGTATAGAATAGTTTCTAAATACAGTAAACAACTACAAATGTACTAAACATTTTTGGAAATATCTCAGTTAAAATTCTACAAAATTTACTGAAAAGTTTATAAGTGATAATACACTAAGCTGATCATTCATCTTCACACAAGTCATCTTTGTTTCCTTAAACTTTAGCTTCATCTTCTTCTGATTCCCACAGCATTTCATCATCCATCCCATCCATTGCATTGGATATGCAAAATTTTATGAAACCTTTAATGATGTTTTATGATTTTCAGTGATAGCTTCTAGTAAAATACCCAACAAAATTGGACGTATGCATACATAACGTACAGTAATTTTTTTGGAAGGTATTTTGAGGGAAAAGTGTGCGTTGTTATAGGGCAGATACGGTATATTATGTACTATAAAACTGTCTTTGTGTTAGCACAATATGTGCATTGTTATAGGGCAGATATGATATATTATGTACTATAAAACTGTCTTTGTGTTAGCACAATATGTGCATTGTTATAGGGCAGATAAGGTATATTATGTACTATAAAACTGTCTTTGTGTTAGCACAATATGTGCATTGTTATAGGGCAGATACGGTATATTATGTACTATAAAACTGTCTTTGTGTTAGCACAATATTCACTTTACATTCTTGATTTCACCAATTTACAGCCTGCTGAAGTTTGAATTTCATAATTACTATCTACAATTAGAGTATTTCTACAAGATATTTATTTATGTGAATACATTTGTATAAACCCATATTTACTACTACACACAGTACTTCTAACCAAGTCCATTCTGAAGGGAAACAGGTTAGGGTGGAAGTATACAGTTGTTGATTAAATTAATCCAACAGGCCAGAGTTTAAAAAAAACAGGCAGATTAGAGCAATAACACGTACGTACATAACACGTATTACATGTTCATATAATTATAAACATCACACACAACATAGCATGTATACAGACTATCTATACAGCTAACTTTTAAAGACCAAATACGTGATTTTCAGTTAGTGAACTTTTAACTCTGACATATTCAATTAAAAAAAATACGAATACATGCGATCATTTATTTCATATCACAAAACATCAATCTATCTGAAATCTAATCTTTGGTCCAATTAAAAAATATTAAAATTAAAAACTAACCTTTCTACTCTAGTTCTTCTCAAGGTGAAGAACTGAACATTCCTG